CCATTAGAAGCCCAGGGGTACACCATACAAGTATAAACGTATTGTTATAACGGTATATGCGTGCTTTATTTCTCAATCTCTGTGTTTGTATTTCTGGGAGTGTATTCTCTCTACTCAGGATTTGTACATGAACCTATACCCCACCCAATTACTGCAGAATGACCCAAAGGCAACAATCTCGCTCTCCTTGTACGAAACCAGCAAAAAGTCTGAACATGTTCAATGCAGACAGACACAATGTCAGATACTCTGCTCGCTCTACAAAACCTGTTTGCTTTGCTCAACCTGAACGCTCTGCTCACTCTGCTCAACCTGCACGCTCTGCTCACTCTGCTCAACCTGCACACTATGCTCAATGTGCACACTCGCTCTTCTTTGCCTGCATGCTTTCCTCAACCTGCACGCTCTGCTCAACCTGCACACTCTGCTCGCTCAGTTGAACCTGCTCTGCTCAACCTGCACTCTCAGCTCGCTCTGCTGAACCTGCACACTCTGCTTGCTCTGCTCAACCTGCATGCTCACCTCGCTCTGCTCAACCTACTCGCTCTGCTCAACCTGCACACTCAGCACGCTCTGCTCAACCTGCACGCTACTCACTCCACTTAACCTGCACACTCAGCTCGCTCTGCTCAACCTGCATGCTCTGCTCGCTCTGCTCAATCTGCACGCTCTGCTCGATCTGCTCAACCGGCACACTCGCTCTGCCTGCACGCTCTGCTCAACCTGCACGCTCTGCTCACTCTGCTTAACCTGCATGCTCAGCTCGCTCTGCTCAACCTGCATGCTCTGCTCGCTCTGCTCAACCTGCACTCTCTGCTCATTCTGCCCAACCTGCACGCTCTGCTCAACCTACACGCTCTGCTCACTCTGCTTAACCTGCACGCTCAGCTTGCTCTGCTCAACCTGCACGCTCTGCTCGCTCTGCTCAACCGGCACATTCGCTCTGCCTGCACGCTCTGCTCAACCTGCACACTCTGCTCACTCTGCTTAACCTGCACACTCAGCTCGCTCTACAAAACCTGCTCGCTCTGTCACTCCACTCAACCTGCACGCTCAGCTCGCTCTACAAAACCTGCTCACTCTGTCACTCCACTCAACCTGCATGCTCTGCTCATTCTGCCCAACCTGCTCGCTCTGACCAACCTGCTCGCTCTGATCAACCTGCTCGCTCTACAAAACCTGTGCAACTTGCATGCTCTGCCCAACCAGCTGGCTCTGCTTACTCTACAAAATTTGCTCACTCTGCATGCTCTGTCCAACATGCATGCTGTGTAAAACCCGCTCACTCTGCATGCTCCGCTAACTCTGCCCAAACTGCATGCTCCACACTCTATGCAATCCCTGCTTGCTCTGCTCTCTATGCTTGCTCTGCCCAGCCTTCTTGCTCTGCTCACTATTTCCAATCTGCTTGTTTTCACAGATGCAAACGTGTAAAATGTGTTCAGAAAAATGCATTGTTTCTGTCTGTGTTCTCCTGCGCACTAGCAGTATGACAGCAGCAGGAAACTCCTGACACCATAACCACTACCGCACACTGAAATAAAATTAGTCAGAAACCTAGTTGGAAACTGTCAGCTTGAATTCCATGTTTGCTGAAATGTATGCATCTCTGTTTATGGGATTTTATAAATGTTTAAAGCAAAGAAGATCCAGATTTTGTGCTTGTTATCTGCATGCTTATACTAAATTAAAATGTAAACTCACTTTTTAAATATATTAACATAGCAACACTTTATAAGGGGAATCATGGGGCACAGCTTCATTCAGCTAGAAAAAAAACGAATCATCCGCTAAGTTTTCTCCAGATAGTAAATTATTCCAATCAGAATGTGACGTATTCAGTGCACTTTGGGAAGAGCTAAATGAGTTGTTAAAACTTTTACACCTATAAAGTGTTTGCATTTTTATACATACTCCTCATTGGGTTAAAATCCTGGGGGTAAAGAACTGAAGATATTTTGAAAGCAGGCTTCATTCAGGCAGTCTGATTGTGTGCCAACCTCGGACTTGCCCTCTTCAGCGGGAACAAAGATCCCTCAGAGCAAAGGAGGGAACAGGAGAAGCATTCATTAGGACAAAGAACTGGGGACAAGGCCAAAGCCATTATTTTGGCCTTCTAGCTGTTCACTGGTTACTTCCTCTTCTGCTGAGCGACGAGGACCTACTCATGAAATGGCCATGAACACAATAACTAAATATGGGTTCTGTGTAACCGTCAGATTCCCCAAAATAAGGAAAACAACCTGTTCTTGGACAAAAAGACAAATAAAACAAATCTGGCACAATCCAGTTTAAGTTATTTCAAACCCATTAATCTTATTTTTGAGGTTTTAGAATGTATTTATCCCACAAAATGACAAACAGGAATACAAAATTACCATTACACTACCAAGGGAATCAGGTACTGGGTGCAGCCATTTTAAATCATTAACATTTAGATGCAATCACTCTTTAAACAAACCTACTTAATTTTCCCACGATTTATCCTTGATTGTCCTCTGTTCCCGCAAGTCCTGTGAACTTTGGGAGATAAAATCCGCATTAACTTCAAAAGGCCCCTCTCAGGAGTGTATTCAGGTATTGTATCCAAACTGGATGGGTAAATGGAAGCTAATTTGCATGAAATGCCAGCCCTCTTGCTGTTTTCTGATAAAGTAGTTTACCGATCATTGATGATTATTTGATTGGGGAAGCAAGTCACCTACTGTTCCCGTATATCAAACGTGTTTTATTAGAACTATTTGTCTTGATTTATCTATTGTACAGCGTTACAGAATATGTTGGCGTTATATAAATAATTGTAATTGTATCATAGTTAATCTTATTGGAAGCAAATAGAACTCTTCATTAATAGAAATGTGTTCCATGCCATTGTTCAATAGTCTAACTTCTGGCCAAGACGAACTCGTTTCACAACTTGCAGGAGTCACTTGCAAACGCCTGAAGGCGATCTTGTTCCCAGAACAGGAAAGTTATCAGAAATCTTCCACCCAGGTGACAACAGAAGCGAATCACAGCAGGTTTGGATATTGCTTAAGGATGTAGACATACTATCTTGTTTAACATTTTGTAACATTGTTCATAGAAGTTTGAAATATGTTAATATATTTGATCATTCATTATTGAGTCTCGAGTACCTTGAATATCTAGACATTTATTGTTTCCTAACCCCTTCCCTTGCCCCCACTCCCCCCCACCTTGGTGCAGACGGGGCTAAAACCCGTTCCTGTCACTTACCTTAGTTCAGCGTCGATATCCTTTGGCGCCAGCTCAAGTCCGCTGGCAGGGAAGATCTTATGCCCATGTGCAGCAGTGCGTGACGCTGGACGTCTCCATGCATAGTGTGACGTCCTGTGCTGCTAGGTGCCATGCATAATGGCACCTAGCAGCACAGGATGTCCGGTGTCAATTAAGTGACCAAATGTCACCTAGCAGCACAGGTTAACCCACCAAGCTAATTATTGTAATTCATTAAAAAAAGATTAAGGGACCTGGGACAGTGCACCCAGAACACTTCAATGAGCTGAAGCGGTCTTGGTGCCGATAGTGTCCCTTTTAAGGAGAGTGACATAAAGCAGCTTTGGTTGAAAGTCCGAAATGAATAAAAATATCACCGGAACATTACGTAAAATCATTATTTTCATAGTTAACGTGAAGCACTCCTTAGGTTATTACACGATTACCTTAAGGCAATGACAGTGTTCTTACAATGTTGTAAAATAACTGAAATAGAACTTTTACAGCTGCTGTTACCTTTTTCAATTGACGTCTAAATTGCTCAGAAAAATTTTACTCTATGTTTATTTTACGTTTAAAGTCAAAGGGAATAAAGAAACACATTTAATCGTATTCCTTACAGAACCGTTATCTCATGATTTCTACAAATGTTCGCTCCATTTTGGTGACGAAAGCAAATAAATGGGGGAAAAGGCATTTTGTAGATTGTAATTTTATGCAGTGGGAAACATGAAACGTGAGGGTCTCATTACTAATCGGTGGATTGACGTGGACTGAAAATGAATTGTTTAATTCACTAAACAAAGACAATCACAGTGAACTAAAAAGCGAATGGCAGAAATCAAGCTGTTAGTCAAATTACAATTAGAAACAAAATTATAAATCCACTATTTTAGCAAAATGTTGCTGTTTGGGATTTAGTTTATTATAATTTGATGTTTAGTGAATAAATGCATTGAGTTTGTAAAATGTGGCACAAAAAGTCCAAGTTTGGAACATAGAGCAGGTCTGACAGTGACACCCCATTAGTAGCTATTGACAGTGACACCCTGTTATTATCCCATGTTACATATTACATGCATAATGTTACCCCATGTTACATACTAACACACATCATGTCACCCCATGTTACATCATGTTACCTCATGTTACATACTAACACACATCATGATACCACATGTTACATCATGTTACCCCATGTTACATACTAAAACACAACACGTCACCCCATGTTACATCATGTTATCCCATGTTACATACTAACACACATCATGTCACCCCATGTTACGTCATGGTACCTCATGTTACATACTAACACACATCATGATACCACATGTTACATCATGGTACCTCATGTTACATACCAACACACATCATGATACCACGTGTTACATCATGTTACCCCATGTTACATAATAACACACATCATGATACCACGTGTTACATCATGTTACATAATAACACACATCATGATACCACATGTTACATCATGTTACCCCATGTTACATATTCACACACATTATGTCACCCCATGTTACATACTAACACACATCATGATACCACATGTTACATCATGGTACCCCATGTTACATCATGGTACCCCATGTTACATACTAACACGCATCATGATATCACATGTTACATCATGTTACCCATGTTACATACTAACACACATTATGTCACCCCATGTCACATATTACACACATCATGTTACCCTTTGTTACATACTAACACACATCATGTTACCCCATGTTACATACTAACACACATCATGTTACATACTAACACACATCATGTTACATACTAACACACATCATTACATATTACTTATTACACCCATCATGTTACCCCATGTTACATACTAACACACATCATTACATATGACTTATTACACCCATCACATTACCCCATGTTACATACTAACACACATCATTACATATGACTTATTACACCCATCACATTACCCCATGTTACATACTAACACACATCATTACATATGACTTATTACACCAATCGTGTTACCCCATGTTACATACTAACACACATCATTACATATGACTTATTACACCCATCATGTTACCCCATGTTACATACTAACACACATCATGTTACATACTAACACACATCATTACATATTACTTATTACACCCATCATGTTACCCCATGTTACATACTAACACACATCATGTTACATACTAACACACATCATTACATATTACTTATTACACACATCATGTTACATACTAACACACATCATTACATATGACTTATTACACCCATCCTGTTACCCCATGTTACATACTAACATACATCATGATAACATGATACTAACATACATACATGTTACATCATGTTACCCCATGTTACATACTAACACACATCATTACATATGACTTATTACACCCATCATGTTACCCCATGTTACATACTAACATACATCATGATACCATGATACTAACATACATACATGTTACATCACGTTACCCAATGTTACATACTAACACACATCATTACATATGACTTATTACACCCATCACATTACCCCATGTTACATACTAACACACATCATTACATATGACTTATTACACTCATCACGTTACCCCGTGTTACATACTAACACACATCATGTTACATACTAACACACATCATTACATATTATTTATTACACCCATCATGTTACTCCATGTTACAAAATAACACACATCATTACATATGACTTATTACACACATCATGTTACCCAATGTTACATACTAACACACATCATTACATATGACTTATTACACCCATCACGTTACCCCATGTTACATACTAACACACATCATGTTACATACTAACACACATCATTACATATGACTTATTACACACACCATGTTGCACAATACATTATCCATATCCCAGTCCCCTCTCCAGGTTCAGTTAGTTCCCATTTTTGTTTGAATGTTTTTCCTTCGGCTGATTTCTATAAGATGACAGTCTGTATCTGTGTGACTTTGTACGATTTACTGTTTGTTAGTTTTCTCTGGGTTTCACGTTGTACCAGATTGTGTGTTTTGTGTGTTTTTCTTGTCTGAGAAATAGTGAATGTTTCCCTCGGTTTCTCTCCTGTTTCATGATACTGGTAGAGAATACAGAGGTTTATTCGCTACGCAGTGACTTGTAATAAACAGACGCTTTAACACCCATTTAATGACCCCTCGAAGGGTAAATGCGAAATGCACAGTGACACCCCGTCTCTGGGAGTAACAATATCACAAAATGAAAAAGCACCACAGGAAATAATACTCTTAGAAATACTCAACGCAAATGGAGTATTTAATTATGTATGTCCCCTGCTATAGAATTTAACATGTAGTTTAGCGTACAACCTGCATGCATTGCTCACTTTGTGCAATATGTGCTGCCCCCCTGTGGCCATTTAATAACATGACATTTTAATGTAACCATTAATGTTTTGTTGTCCTGGGCTCTTACATTGTTTAGAATAACCAGGAAGTTATAAAGTGAGCAGGTGTCTGTGTGTTTGTATTATATATGTTAAACAATTTATGGAGAATTTTACATTTCTTTTTAGCTTTACACAATACACATTTTATTGTGCTCTATAAATACAGCCACATGTTGTATAATATATTTCAGTAATGTGCAAATATTTATATCTGTCTCACAGAATACTTGGTTTTTCTTACAACTGTACATTTATTGAAAGATCAATAAACACATTTCATATCAAGAAATAACAAAATACTTTCTAATTTCACAGAATTAACTAATCATGAAAACTGGAGATATTTCGAGTAGAGCCCATGATTATGAAAGTGATTTTTCTGGTTGATATTTTTGCAGACACACGGTGAGTCTTGGTTTGACTGGACACGTAGTCCATAACATGTCTGGTTTCAATGTTTGATCTGGTGTGATCTACGAGACACATTCACTGGACCTCAGGCTGGTTCTAATGGAGCAGAGATGTGCTGGTTCTCACATTAAAACCCATAACGTATCACTTGGGTTATTACTCACATATCTTATTCTTCACCGACATTGGAAATAATCTTGGAAAGTTTCACTGAAACCTGGCGCGATGCCAAGCTCCGTACATACTACGTGTGCCCAAAACTTAATGTCTTGAGCCAAGTGATGTCAACTGATACCCGGCTGGTGCCAAGCTGGAGAGAAGAGGGCTGTATTGGATGCCATTAACAAAACCTCCACGTGGTTTAATCCAGGCAGACGTCAAGCACATCGACACAAGTTCAAGGACTTTACCTTAACATTAACAGGGTTATTTACTGAATATTGTCTGCAATTCAAAGTAAATTTCACATTTAGGACTAAAATAGATGAATTGGGAAGATTCTACCAGTCTGGCCATGTTGGTAAACAATGTGAAGTTCACTATAGTAAATAATCCAATTAGTAAATAACTCTATTGATTACACTCCAAGACCTACACATTTTATAAGGAATAAATTATATCAAATGCATTGTGAACACAAAGGGTCCCCAGGGTATACTGACCTCCAAACTTTCTACTTCTTTCAATTGTGGCTTTATTTCCTTGTTGAAGGACAGACTCTGCTGGGCTGTAATATACTGAATTGGGCCGGGCTGTAATATACTGGATTGAGCTGAGTTGGGCTGTAATATACTGAATTGGGCCGGGCTGTAATATACTGGATTGAGCTGAGTTGGGCTGTAATATACTGAATTGGACCGGGCTGTAATATACTGAATTGGACCGGGCTGTAATATACTGGATTGGACCGGGCTGTAATATACTGGATTTGGCTGAGCTGGGCTGTAATATACTGAATTGGACCGGGCTGTAATATACTGAATTGGACCGGGCTGTAATATACTGGATTTGGCTGAGCTGGGCTGTAATATACTGTATTGGGCCAGGCTGTAATATACTGGATTTGGCTGAGCTGGGCTGTAATATACTGAATTGGACCGGGCTGTAATATACTGGATTGAGCTGAGTTGGGCTGTAATATACTGTATTGGGCCGGGCTGTAATATACTGGATTGAGCTGAGTTGGGCTGTAATATACTGAATTGGACCGGGCTGTAATATACTGGATTTGGCTGAGCTGGGCTGTAATATACTGAATTGGACCGGGCTGTAATATACTGAATTGGACCGGGCTGTAATATACTGGATTTGGCTGAGCTGGGCTGTAATATACTGTATTGGGCCGGGCTGTAATATACTGGATTTGGCTGAGCTGGGCTGTAATATACTGAATTGGACCGGGCTGTAATATACTGGATTTGGCTGAGCTGGGCTGTAATATACTGAATTGGACCGGGCTGTAATATGCTGGAGTTGGCTGAGTTGGGCTGTAATATACTGAATTGGGCTGGGCTGTAATATACTGGATTTGGCTGAGCTGGGCTGTAATATACTGAATTGGACCGGGCTGTAATATACTGGATTGAGCTGAGTTGGGCTGTAATATACTGAATTGGGCTGGGCTGTAATCTACTAGATTGGGCTGGGCTGTAATATACCGGATTGAGCTGAGCTGGGCTGTAATATATTGGATTGGGCTGGGCTGGGCTGTAATATATTGGATTGGGCTGGGCTGTAATATACTGGATTGGACTGGGCTGGGCTGTAATATACTGGATTGGGCTGGGCCGTTATATACTGGATTGGGCTGGGCTGGGCTGTAATATATTGGATTGGGCTGGGCTGTTATATACTGGATTGCACTGGGCTGGGCTGTAATATATTGGACTGGGCTGGGCCGTTATATACTGGATTGGACTGGGCTGGGCTGTAATATATTGGACTGGGCTGGGCCGTTATATACTGGATTGGGCTGGGCTGGGCTGTAATATATTGGATTGGGCTGGGCTGTTATATACTGGATTGGACTGGGCTGGGCTGTAATATATTGGACTGGGCTGGGATGTTATATACTGGATTGGGCTGAGCTGGGCTGTAATATACTGGATTTGGCTGGGCTGTAACTAGGATGAAATATATTGGATTGGGCCAAGCTGTGATATATTGGATTGAGCTGAACTGGGCTGTAATATAGTGGCTTGGGCTGCAATGCTTTATTAAATGAATGTTGGGATTGTGTAAAATGATAAATGTGACTAGTCTATCAGTGCATGTGTCTGTGATCGTATAGCCACTTGTGAGTTGAAGAAACCTCATGACAAAATTTGTTGCGTTGGTAAACCGATTGATTGATTATATATCAATATTTACATCTTGAAAACGTTTTCCTGAGTCTGAAATGTGGCTATTAATCCATCAGTTTATATAATACACCCGGTTGGAAATACATGATTATTTCATCAGATTGAAAACGATCACTTATTGCACGTTCTTTCCCTTTATTGCGCCTCCCCGCTGTACCGTATTCTAAAATCAGATTATACAGAAATAATTATTTGTGCCAATCTTAGTGGAATAAACACGTTATTACATGACCTTTATTATTCTCTATAAATGTGTGCATTTCACAAGGCAACAGGACCGTCAGCAACAGTTCCATGTTCATGTTACCCTTCTGTGCGTTGCTATGTTATAAGATAATTATTAAATGTGCTACTCTCAATAAACCTGCAACAGGCAGCCCTTTTACGGTTGGCAATCATGGCTGGCAATTCTCCCAGAATGCATTTTTGCCAAGATTTTAAATCACAGATTTTTTTTTTTTTTTTATATTATTACAACGTTTCTATTGTTTCCCTTTTTACATCTTAAAACCTTCTACCTTGGATGGAAGATTTGAGGTGCGGTAACATGATTATTTGGAGTATGATTTAACCCAAGTAATCTCAGTGTTACTGCGAGAAAGACATGCAAATCACAGACTTACCATTCAGGGATCTCAAAATATATAGAAAGTAACACAACAAAATTACAGAACATACAGATAGGAAATGAACAATAATGTGAGGAAACACTACTTTATAGAAATGGTAGTAGATACCTGTAATGGCCTTCCAGTGGGAGCAGTAACAGTGATATAGAAAGGGTAGTAGATACCTGGAATAGCCTCCCAGTAGAAGCAGTAACAGTGATATAGAAAGGGTAGTAGATACCTGGAATAGCCTTCCAGTGGGAGCAGTAACAGCAATATAGAAAGGGTAGTAGATACCTGGTATAGCCTCCCAGTAGAAGCAGTAACAGTGATATAGAAAGGGTAGTAGATACCTGGAATAGCCTTCCAGTGGGAGCAGTAACAGTGTTATAGAAAGGGCAGTAGATACCTGGAATAGCCTTCCAGTGGGAGCAGTAACAGTGATATAGAAAGGGTAGTAGATACCTGGAATAGCCTT